TCACATGTCTAGTCCCAGAGCAGGAGAGTCCCTGATCTCCTAAGAAGCCTTGACTCTCCAGGGCTCACATCCAGGGTTCTAGGTTCTGAGATGGGCCCTCTGTCCAGGGGCAGCCATGCCGGGGCCCAGCCCCCCTCCCTGCCCACGGAGGGTCTCTTGCAGGTCCTGAAACCTCTCTTCTCTGCAGGCAGCATCAGCTTCCTCCCTGCCCCCTCCCCAGACAGCTGACCCAGCTCCCCAGCAGGCCCCGCAGCCACCCTGGCTCATACAGTCTCCCAGAGACACACTCGCAGGGGGCAGGGGGGCAGCGGGCCATCGTGACAAGGTGCTGCGTGTTCGGCCCACAGGCTTGTGATGCCTGGAAGAAGGAGGCAGAGGAGGCCGGTGAGCGAGCCAGCGCGGCAGGCGCCGAGTGTGAGCTGGCCCGGGAGCAGCGGGACGCACTGGAGGTGCAGGTGAAGAAGCTGCAGGAGGAGCTGGAGCGGCAGCACTCAGGCCCCGACCCGCAGGCCTTGCCTGCCTTCTCCGACCTGGAGGCCCTCTCACTGTCCACTCTCTACTCCCTCCAAAAGCAGCTGCGGGCCCGCCTGGAGCAAGTGGACAAGGTCAGCCAGGAGGTTAGGGGAACCCTGGGGGGGGTATAAGTGGCCACAGCCAGTGTTTGGACTCTGGTGAGCCCACACTGCTCCAGGGATGGCCATCCTCCTTCTGAGAGCCTCTGCCCAGCAGCTGGGCCAGCACAAGATGCTGGCTGCCAGAGGGGAGCTAGGAAGAGAGAGTCCCTCACTGGGGAGGTGAGAAAGCAGGAGGTGGGTCCATGCCCACCCCAGCACTTTTGAGGGCAGGCGTGACCTAATTCGCATCCTGACAGCTCATTCTCTGAGCTTTGCATGAACCAGCAGACGTTCCAGAATGGTTAGGTCCCCAGGGCTACTCTGTCTGCATTCCTAGGTGACCAGCTGGGCCCAAGGAAGCCTCGTACGGTGGAAAGAGAATTCTTAAGACAGCAAAGTCTCAGGTGGCCACTGCCCTCTTCAGGCCCCGTTGTTCTCATTTGGGGACCTGGGGTCACTACAAGATCAGTGTGGGAGATAGCCCTCCGGATGGGGCTGCAGAGCAGCCTGGCCCTCCCCTCCCCCAGGCTCTGACTCCTCACACTCAGCCCACAGCCAAAGCCGGAAGCAGAAATGTGGAGCCTTGAGGTGATCAGCCTGACCCTGACCCTGCTCTCCCTGTCAGCTGGGGCCTGTGAGCATGACTCGAGCGCTGCGCCTCAGTTTTCTCCTCCCAAGGGGCTGAAGCGAGAGTTAAGAAACCTTTCCGACCCCAGGCCAGGCCAGTGACCACGATATCGCTTCCCCCACAGGCCGTGTTCCACATGCAGTCGGTGAAATGCCTTAAGTGTCAGGAGCAGAACCGAGCGGTGCTGCCGTGCCAACACGCTGTGCTGTGCGAGCTCTGTGCCGAGGGCAGCGAGTGCCCCGTCTGCCAGCCTGGCCGGGCCCACACCCTCCAGTCGTGACCCTGCAGGCCCGGCCCTGGCCTGGCTCAGATCTTCCCACCTAGGACTTTTTAAAGTATATATATGTATGTATGTATGTATGTATGTATGTATATGATTATGTATACATTTCTGTGTGTGCAGGTGTGCGTGGGCAGCCAGTGTGTGACAGTGTCTGTGTGTATATCTGTGTATAGATATAGACACACACTTTAAAGAGACTTACCAAGCACTTTTTAAAAGAAGAAACTATTTTGCAGTCCTCCCCGAGCCCGCTCCCTACCTTTCCCACTTTCCCCTCTTCTCCCACCGGCCTTTTGGCAGGGAATCTGTTTCTGTCTCTTTTTTATATAGGAACTAACTATTTTTAACTTCTTGGGGCCTAAACAGGGAAGGGTGGGAAGCTAGAAGGGGCCACCGGGAGGGGACAAGCCTTCAGGGCAGGCCCTGTTCACCCACCTCCCCAGGCCAGGGCCGGGCCAGGGTTTGGAGGCCCAGGTAGACCTGGTTCCCAGCTGTGAGGCCTGAGGGGGGTGCTGGGGCTCCAAGTCAGCCTAGCTCATAGGTTTACCAAATGTGTATTTAGTTGGGGGCTGGCAGGCCCAAGTAGCCCCACTCCCAACCCCGGGCCCTTGAAGCCCCTCGAGGGTCAAGGCCCAGGAGTTCTACCCCTCAGGTTCCTGAGGCAGGGGGCTGCCTCAGTCCTCTCCCCTGGGTTCCCAGAGCAGCCTCCCTGGCCCCAGGGCCACCTACCAGGCTGGCACTGCCCTCTCCGTTCCCCCTCCTTCTGGCACGGCCCCCCCCCTTCCCCGTGCTCTCC